TTTTTTTTTTAAGTGTTTGTGTATATGGTGGTGGAGATAGAGATGGACAAATACAAGATGTTTCAAAAGGTGTAGACATCATTATTGCAACTCCCGGAAGACTGAATGATCTGCAAATGAATAACTTTGTGAACTTGAGAAGTGTAACATACTTGGTAATCATGTAGACGTTGGGAATGTTGGGGAGGAAAACGACTCCTTCTTAAAATATTTTTAGGATGGTTTATATAATGGTTTTAGATTCTAGGAATATTTCCCCATTTGTTTAAGAATATTGAAATAAGGATTGAAAATGTAATTAATTACAAAGGAATTATTAAAATCTACTTGGTTGGTTTAGATATTTATTCTCATTAAACAGATTTAGAAGATACGGGAAAGGCAACTAAAACAAATCTTTTTGTTGTGTGTATGTGCAGGGGATTGAACCCAGGACCTTGTGCTTGCAAGGCAGGCATTTTACCAGCCCACAGATCTGTTCTTATGACTTCAAATGGCTTAATTATTTTTATCTCTAGAGAAATGAGGGATTTTTTAAATTTTTTTTTGGGGGGGGTGGGGGCTAGGGATTGAATCCAGGGTGTTTTTTTGTTTTGTTTTGTTTTTTGAGACAAGGTCTCAGTTACTGATTATCTTGCTAAGTTGCTGAAACTGGCATGGAAGTGACAATATTGTTGCAGCCTCCCAAGTTGCTAGGAATACAGGCATGTGCCACCATGCCCAGCAAAATGGTTATTATATTTGTAAAGAAAGCATACATATTAGCTAACTCTCATCTAATCAGCCACATTCTTAATTTGTGAATTCAGGTTTTAGATGAAGCAGACAAGATGCTGGACATGGGATTTGAACCTCAGATAATGAAGATTTTGTTAGATGTACGCCCTGACAGACAGACTATTATGACAAGGTAGGTATGCTTAATTTGTGTAACATAAAAGTCTGTGGATTAGAAACTCACCTTAGTTGATTCTTCAGAATATTTTAGAGCATCAGTAGAAATTATTTTGAGATCCTTTGGTGAAAGAAGATATCATCACTTAGTTTATTAACTCAGTATAAGCATAAAGATGACTGCTTCACTCCTGACTACTCCTAAATTACAGATAGGGGCTTATGGTCTTTTTGTTTTTGTTTTTGTTTGTTTTGTGGTGCTGAGAATTGAACCCAGGGTCTTGTAAACATTTACTTCTCATGGAAAGAGCTACATTGACTAATGCATCACTTGTCCTTAGACACTCTACATTTATGTAATAGTTTCTATTGATTCTATATATTTTGTCTTTATTTGCATTAAGGATCGTGTAAAATTGAGGAAATACACTAAATCTCACTTTTTTCTATAATCTTGCGATTTCAAGAAAAGTGAAATTCAATTTCATTGTAATTACTCTAAAAGTACAAAATGTGGTCACTTTCATTTTATATATGGTTGAAGAAACATTGAAATTTATA